AACACCTCTCGGCGGCTGGGATCCATTACCTGCGACGAAAAGGGCCAACCTGAGACACAATGCTTGCACTGGTTCTAACGAGCGTCATTTTTCTTGCACCCACAGGCTGAGCACGTCCACGCCGACCACTTCGAACCATGCTGGTATTGCTGCTGCTGTTAGTTGCCTTGATTCACATGACGTCCGAGCTGGAGACCTGGAACGAGCGGGTGCCACGGACAGTGGGACTGAACGAGACTACCAACGCCACCAGCACCCCCACGGCCGCCAGACAGACCCTTCCTGTAGTTGATGCCCTTGCCCTTACCTTGCCAAAGCCCTTCCCCTGCTCAAAGGCACTCACCATGGCAATCACGTGATGATGAAAGACTGGAGGGCGACGGCCCTCAACCGTAAACTTGGCTCGCGAGAACAAACTGCCGTTTTGAAGATGCGCCTACAACGCTCAAACGCTCGAACGCAAAACGGCTAAGGTCTTGAGCCAAAACGGCTACGGAGTGCGAGAGAAAGAGGAAGAGAGAAATAAACCAAACAGAGAGACAGAGAGAAAAATCATATATAGATACGGGGCTGCCTGTAGGTAGCGAGCTTCTTTATGTTTACGAAGTCGCTGAAAATGCTGTTCATGTCTACCTGGGAGACGGCAGGTGAGACGACAACGCGCACGACGGAACAACGGCTGCTCTGATTAGATCGAACCTTATCCGATACTGGGGGGGTCGCCCTGATGGGGGATCCTGTCCCTCATCCTTCAACTCCCCTTGCCCCTCCTCCAAAAGCGTTACACCAGGCAGGCACCCCAATCAATGAATTTCCTGTCTTCCAGTCTCCGCTAAAGCCCTTCAGTGCAGTCACTGGTTTGGGGCCGCGCGGGGCACCGCCCGCCACTCTGGCATCCCCCCGAAGGGGAGCCCGTGGAGAGCTCCGGGAGGCAAGCTAACAGGGAAAGCTATCGGAAGCTGCCCTCGGGGCCCGCCTGCCCCATGCTGACGAACCAACAACACACACTCATGTCCATAGGGGGGTCGGAGAGGGCTATGGGTGCGTGTTGTCGGATGGGGGTCCCCGCTCGAACGGGAGCGTTCCCCAGGGTCCGACAACCCGCACCCATACCCATAGCCAGTCCTCCTCCCAACAACCCCCCTATGGGTATGGGTGTGTGTTGTTCGTTCGTCACATGCTCTGTGGCAGCTCATGGGAGCCTCCCATGCCATCTTGCCGGCTTCTGCGAGTCGACGCTAGCCGTCGCGAATCGACGCTGATCGACGCTAGTGGGCGCTAGATCTGCGCTGTTTGATCGATGACCAGACGCCAGCGCAAGCCAATGCACTCCTAAGATGGAATTCTGGGGACAGTCAGGGCTTCAAAGATTTGTTACCAAGCCAGAGCGAGGTGTGTCGAAGAGCCGAACAAGCGTCAACGTCACGCCGGTCGGATGACCCCTTCAGCGCGTTACTAGTTATCTGTTACCGTGCATCTCGCCATTGCTTTTACTATAATGAGCGCCAGAACGCAGTGCGCTGGCGCACATGGCGCACACGAGGTCTTGTGCAAGGGGCCGTGTCGATCGTGCTTATTATGTGTCTCCTCCTTTCTCTGCGTACGCATGCGCGCACATCCAGTCCAAAGTAGGGGAACGAGCAATGACATAAACACAACATCTCGGAGGTCTGCGCGGGTTTCTCGGATCGGCGCATAACCCCCACCAAGGGCATTCACAAGAGCCCCGCACAAGGCGAACAATGGCCTCCGCACAAGACTCGCGCGAGTACTCTTTCTCTTAGGACGAGGACGAGCACACAAGCAACAAGGACCGAGCGTGGGATGCTGCTTGGAAGCTCTCTGTTTCCGAGGGCTCCTCCTGCTCATCCTCCTCCTCCTGCTCCTCCTGCTCCTGCTCCTCCTCCTCCTCCTCCTGCTCCATATGTGTCTCCTCCTCCCCCACAGTCCAGACTGACTGCAGAGGACACCCGAGAGGACACCCCAGACATGAGACGTCTCCATGTGGATGATTTCTTCGAAAAGCTGAATCCCCGGAATTTGACACCGTCTGGTGGCCTATAGGGTGGCCCGGTACTGCCTCCGGCCAGCATGGGCGGGCAGGCTCGAGATCCGGGGCTCGAGAACATCGCTTGCCTGTCTCGGCCTCCTGGGGGCGTTTTCGTCGGGGATGGACAGAACCCCCTTTAGCAAAACGTGGTTTAGTGAAAACGCCCTCGGGCCCAAACCTGGCGGGCGCAGGCCTGGAAAATAACGGAGGCGGCGCCCTCTCGAGAACCGAAAACGGACAATTCACTAATCGACGTGTCACTGTTGGGGGTTCTGTCCAGCCCCGAGCGTTTTCGGGCCCCCGGACCATGAACAACGGATCCGGGGTGAACAACTGCACAAACCCGGAGATGGGCGGATCTGGCCTCATCGCCCCCCTCCTACCTACTGTCCAATGGAAAGACAATGAAATCCAAAGAGTCCTCGGACAATCTGGCCAAACAATGCTGATTAGACGACCTCCCCCAGACAACCCCTTGGACGACCCAGCGAAGATCCGGACAACGCCTCCGGACAACCCCCCTGGGATAAGCCTCCCCGGATTTTTCCCAAAGCATGTAGTGACCGATTTTCTGGGGTCCCAACCGATTCAGTCCCCCCAGCCGCCCAGCCGGCCCCAACCCAAAATGTCCGACTCCTTCCCCCAGGGGCCGGTTTTGCATCCCGAATCGCTTCTGACAGTCCCACGGCCCAGCATGGGAGGGCCCCTGCAAGTCCCCCAAAGCCTCCCGTCGCGATGTCCGGCAACGAAAAGAGTCAGAGGGTAATGTAATGTCGGATTCAGGGCGCGGGCGGCGGCAGCGTGCTGTAAATAGAGGCCTCCCAGATGAGGTCCGAGCAGGTGGGGTCGGAGGATCGCGCCGCATCGCCGACGCACTGGCCACGCGTCGGCGGCGTCGGCGACACGTCGGCGCCGTCGGCGTGGAGAACGTCGGGCTCCGCGTCGAGCCGCATCGGCCATGGGGCGCGATCCTCCGACCCCGTACAGTGATGGGCCCGACCACAGGAAAGCCTCCACGAGAAGCCCAACCCTGAGGCCCCAGGTCGTCCACCGATTGGTTGGCGTGGGGGCACCACGCTCCCCATGGCAAGACCATCGACATACAAGCAGCCCGGGGCCCCCTGGAGGCCAGCAGGGGTGCGTCTCGGCATGGGCCTCCGCTGCCAGGCAGGAGGCCGGGTGCCTCCGGGTGCCCCCCTGGGGTGCCTCCCTGGGGCGCCTACCTGGGACGCCCCCCTCGGGGCGCCTCCCTGGGGTCTCCCTGGGGCGCCTCCCTGGGGCGCCTCCCTGGGGCGCCCCCCTCGGGGCGCCCCCCTCGGGGCGCCCCCCTCGGGGCGCCTCCCTGGGGCGCCTCCCCGGGGCGCCTCCCCGGGGTGCCTCCCCGGGGGTGCCTCCCCGCCCTCGCCCTGCCCCCGCCTCGGGTCGCTGCCGCCGACGCGCCGCGGCGCCGGGAGTCAAGCGGCGAGTCCATGGAAGATGGCCCTACTTTTATTGCGATGCAAGTGGGGCGACAAGCGGCGGCATGTCCTCCTACAGGCGGACCTCGGGCGAAAACCAAACCAAGAACGGCCAAGACGTATTCAAACCAATAGCCAACAAAACCTTGCAAATCGTCCCCAGACTTTTTTCGGGGAGACGTAAGACCCGGGTACGGGGGACTCGGAAATCCCCGACGAGGTCGTCAAAAAAATGACGAGGCCGAGCCTGCATTTTGACGAGGCCTCCCGCTGCAGACATCCCACGAAACTCCTACTCGTCAAAATCCGAGTCGCGGTCGTCAAAAAAAAATGGCGAACCCGAGTCCTGGCAAACCCGGGTCTTACGCTCCCCCGAGTTTTTGTTGGAGGGACACGCCCGACGGAAGTCCAGGACGCGGGACTGCCCACGGGGCGCAGCGGTCGGGACCTCCGCGGCCGCGGCTTGCAAAGATCAGAGCGGCGGACGTCGGGGGGACGGACGGCCCTGGGCCCGAGAGGCGAGCTCGCTCGGGAGCGCCCAGGAGGGGATCCAGGGTCCAGGACTCCTCCTCCTCCTCCTCCTCCTGCTCCTCCTCCTCCTCCTCCTCCTCCTGCTCCTCCCCCTCCTCCTCCTCCTCCTCCTCCTCCTCCTCCTCCTCCTCCTCTTCCTGCTCCTCCCCCTCCTCCTCCTCCTCCTCCTCCGCCTCCTCCCCCCTCCGCCTCCTCCTCCTCCTCCTCCTCCTCCTCCTCCCTCCTCCTCCTCCTCCTCCTCCTCCCCTCCTCCTCCTCCTCCCGTTTCTCCTCCTCCTCCTCCTCCTCCTCCTCCCCTCCTCCTCCTCCCTCCTCCGTTTCTCCTCCTCCTCCCGTTTCTCCCTCCTCCTCCCCTCCTCCTCCTCCTCCTCCTCCTCCTCCTCCTCCTCCTCCTCCTCCTCCTCCCCCCTCGCCTCTTCTCCTCCTCCTCGTCCTCGTCCTCGTCCTCCTCCTCCTCCTCCTCCTCCTGCTCCTCCTCCTCCTCGTCCTCCTCGTCCTCCTCCTCCTCCTCCTCCTCCTCGAGAGAGAGAGAGAGAGAGAAGGGGGGGGGGGGGGGGCAGCGCATCGCGGCACGTGCGCGGCCGGCGGGGGGACATGACACCTGGAAGATTTCATGGCCCTGGCCACCAGTCGTCAGCCCCCTCTTGGGCACCCCAATATACACGCGCGTGCCGCGACCCTCGGCAACGGCACGCTCGTCCGCTTCACTGCGGCGCTGCTCTGCCCTGGGTCGCATCCCCGCTCCCTTCTCTGCCCTTCTCCCTCTCCCTTCTGTTAGGTCAGGCCTCCTACAGGCCGATGTTGGATGAAACATAAAATATCTGTTAAAGCATAGCCCAGAATAGCCAAAAATGGCAAAACAAATGGTCGCCTGACTACTTGTTTGACTATTATTGAATAATCTTCCTGTAGAGGGACATACCCGACTTACCCCTTCTGCGTCCCCCCCCCTCTGGGCGAAATCAATTGCGAACAACGCAGTCCTTCTTCCCTAACTCTTCCTCGCCGGAGAAGAGCGTGTCCGTGGGATCGGACTCTATCGCCCGCTGGTAGAACCACTCGGGGTTCTGCATCTCAGGGAATCCCTCGGCCGGGCGAGGAAGAGGAACAAGATCGGGACGAGGAGGAGGACACTATGGTTTCAATTCCCCTACTCACCCCAGTCGTAGCCGTAGTAACACTGAGGCGGGGAAAAACACTCATCGTAAAAGTCACAAGCACAGTGGAACGAAAACACACACACACACACTACCAACCTTGTCAGTGCTACCCGGCTGCGCACCTCAAACTGTAAAACCACACCAGCACATTACCAACACAAAAACGACTAACTCTTCCGCTGAGCCGAGCTGGATCACAGATATTCAGAACACCAGCTGTGACTTCATATCAACTTACACACGACGTCGAAGTCTTGACTTACATCGGGCATGTCAATTGAAACAAGTGAAACAATAGTCAAGTGAACCAATAGTCAACAAATACTCAGAAATCGTCCAGAGTGCACGAGCATCATCACTAGACGATTGTCTAACTATTATTGAGCATTCCTCGGGTAGAGGCGCCCGCTCGACTTGAGTCTAGACATTGACTGAATTGTTCTGCGATGTCTTGACATGCGCGCGATTGACCCAAGCTTGGGGCAACATTGAGGCGCGCCCGAACCGAACACTGCCCGCATCTAATTGCCAAAATCCAATGCGCAAGTCGGCGGCCAGCCCGGGGGGGGGAAAGCGAGAAGGGGTGGGCCTTCTCAAAGACTCGGGAGTCCTCAGGCCCTCTGAGAAGTGTTCTACGCCGTCCCCGACGACACAGAAACCTGACCAGGAGGCAGAAGAACTTCGAAGAAACCACGCCGCCATTTCAGAAGAACTGCTCCTTCTCACTTCCCCTCCTCCCTCGCCGCCCAGCAAAGCTGAGGATCCCGGGTGCCCAACCATGATCCTGCGATCCGTGCACAATACAAGAAACACAATGTGGCCTTCAATCGATCCCGCTGTACCTTGGCCTGTGACCCACGCCTGGTGGCGGGATGGGCCGAAAGCGGAGCGACAAAATCCGCCGCGCCCTGTCGATTCATCGAAGGGGTGCCTGGCGTGCTGGACCCTCTCGGTTTGGGTTTTGGTTCTTTTTCCAAAAGAACTCCCCCTGGGGCTTCGGCCCGTCCCGCCGGCCACCCGGAAAGGATCTCAAAACCTGGTTGCAAAGGTTTGTCCTGCGCCCAAGACGGCCGTTTCGCTCGGGGCATCCTCAAAACATCGCAAAGATGGCCCAAGATGGCCTCCAAGTCCGCCCAAGATGGTCCAAGACAGCCCAAGAGAGTCCAAGAAGCCCCCCAGAGGCCTCCAAGACGGCCCAAGAGGCCTCCAAGAGGTCCTCCAGGAGGGCCCGAAGAGGCCAAAGTCATTGATTTTCCTCTGGTTTTTGCAGGATTTTGGAATGTGTTTCTTCTCGGCATTCCGACGGCTCAAGACGGCCCAAGAGGCCCCCAAGACCGCCCAAGAGGCCCCAAGAGGGCCCCAAGACGGCCCAAGAGGCCTCCAACACGCCCAAGATGGCCTCCAAGACGCCCAAGATGGCCTCCAAAACGGCCCCGAAGCGCCCCAAGAGGGCCCCCAGTCGGTTCAGAAAGGCCCCCAAGACGGCTCCCGACGGCGTCAGACGTGCCAGGAACCCACCAAGATGGCCGAAGTTGGCTCGAAGCTGGCCCAAGAAGGCCCAAGAGGCCCCCATGAGGGCCTTCAGGAAGGCCAGAAGAGGCCAAGCACATTGATGTTCCTTAGGTTTTGGACGGACTTTGGCATTTCTTTTTTTTCGGCCTTCCGATGGCCCGAGACGGCCCAAGAGCCCCCAAAGATCGCCGAAAGATCGCCCAAGAGGCCCCCAGGATGGCTCCAAAACGGCCCAAGACCCCCAAGACGGCCCCAAGAGGCCCCCAAGACGGCAAAGGAGGCCTTTAAAACGCCCAAGATGGCTTCCAAGACGGCCCTGGAGCATTCCAAGAGGGCCCCAAGTCGGCCCATAGAGGCCCCCTCAAACGGCTTCCGACGGCGTCAGACGGACCAGGAGCCCACCAAGACGGCCGATCATGGCCCTAAGATGGCCCAAGACGGCCCAAGATGCCTCCAAGAGGGCCTCCAGGAAGGCCCGAAAAGGCCAAAATCATTGATTTCCCATGGGTGTTTGAAGGATTTTGGCATTTCCTTCATTTCTGCCTTCCGACGGCCCGAGACGGCCCAAGTGCCCCAAAAGATCGCCCAAGAGGCCCAAGACACGGCCCCAAGAGGCCCCCAAGACGGCCCAAGAGGTCTCCAAGACGCTCAAGATGGCCTCCAAGAAGGCCCGAGAGCCCTCCAAGACGTCCTCCAAGAAGGCCCGAAAGGGTCAAAACGGCCTCCAGACGGCCAAGATGACCTTCAAGATGCCCACGTGTTCCCCGAAGACTTTCCAAACCAATTCGGGGAACACATGGTCCGATAGCTTGGCAGGTCTGGCCTCAACGTTCGGCCACATAGGCGCTTCCAAAATGGCAGGGGGCGGCGGTGATTCGCCGTAGGCGTCTTCGATCAACCACCCTGTAATCTCACCCTCCATCCCGTGGGGAATTTGTCAACCAGCCAGTCAGCAAATCTCACGACAAGCGAAATAACGCACATTGCAAAGACATTCTGGGGATTCTACGAAACATGCACCATCCCCAAAACATCCGCCGACCCTGTCGGCGTGTGGAAGGGGCTGTTCCGTTTGACTCGTCTTCGTCGACGCCGTCGTCGTCGTCAATGTCGTCGCCGTCGCCGTCGCCGCTGCCTCTTTCCCTGGGCCCGCCGCCGCCCCCCCCCTTTTCCTGTGCCCTCCTCCTCGAGCGCGCCAGCCTAAACGAAATTGAGCAACGTCGTACTTGAGTCGAAGGGGAGCCCCTTCACGTTGACCCCTTCCCCGCCAAGAAGGGGGGGGGTCCTGGGGGGGTCGCGGGGGGGTCCCGGGTCAGAATGCCCTCCCTTGGGGATGCCCGGGGCTCAAGAAAGTCCCAAGACGAGCCATGAGTGCCCCAAGCGGCCCCCAAAACGGTCCAAGAGGACCCCGAATGTCCGTACGATCGGTCCAAGACGTCTGTACGGCCTCCAGAGGGCCCAAGAGGGCTGGAAGACGCCCCAAGAGGCCTCGCAGAGCACTCCCAAGAGAGCCCCAAGAGGCAACATTCATTGACTTTCCTCAAGTGTTTCAAGGATTTGGGCGTTCTCGCCTTTTCAGCTTCCCGACGCTCCAAAACGTCCCAATAGGCTCCAACGATCCCCAAAGAGGCCTCCAATAGTGTATCGAAACAAGCCAAAGAGGGCCCGAAGACGGCCCAAACCGCCTGCAAGACGGCCCAAAAGGCCCCCCAGAGGGCTCCAAGAGGGTGCCCTCATAGGGGAACCAAACGGACATTTCGAGCCCCTCCGCCCCGAGAGGCTCCCAGGAGGCCCCAAGAGGCCCCCAAGAGGCTCCAAGAGCCACCCAATGAAGCCCCCAGGAAGCCCCAAGAGGCTCCCAAGAGGCCTCCAAGATGTTCCCAAGGGGCCCCCAAAACTGCCCCCAAGAGGCCTCCGAGAGCGCCCCAAAGAGACCCCAAACAAAATCCCTGGTTACTCTGACCCACGTTGGCGTCGTCGTCGTCGTCGTCGTGGTCGTCGTCGTTGTGGTCGTCGCGGTCGTCGTGGTCGTCGTGGTCGTCGTCGTCGTCCTTGTCGTCGTCGTCGTCGTCCCCTTCAGGGTCAGCGGCGCCGGCCGGAAGGCCTTCGCAATCTGCACCATTCCCAGCAGCGAATCACGGCGTCCACGCAACCTTGCGCAAATCTAACTATTGAACGCTTCACTGAACCTCCGACCAGACCTGATACTGAACCTCACCGTAGACAATGCGCCGAACAATAACCACGGCCTTCCGCTACTCTGCCGACTGAACATTACACTGGACCGTGAACAGGGACTGCAGTTGATCTGGTACCCCGCCCTATACAAACAACTAGTACACCCTGCGAAATGCTTGAGAAATCATGGGTTAAGAAATTCATGGTCTCAGAACTTGAATGGCAACCCAAAGATTCGATTCAAATCTTAGGATTTACATTGAAACATTAAGAATAATCGAGACTCTGGCCGATAATTTAAGTTTTCTTAAGCATCGCCTAAGGTGTAAGCCTTCTCCGAGGCCTTCTGCGGTACCTCGAACGAGCTCTTCGAGAGAGCCAAGAGGAAGGCAGAGGCGTGAAGGTACCTCCTCTCTGCGATCGTACGCAGACTGTGGTGGCGTCGAGGACGACGCGCGAGAGCACAGAACACTTGAACGAGGAGAGGGGAGCAGCGGAAGAGGAGCAGCATAGAAAGAAAATCAAGAAGAGCGAGGCCTTACGACGTCCCCCTCCCCTCCGTCCTTCACTCTCCACCCCCCCTTGCGTCGGCTCGATCGTTACTTCTCGTTCTCCTCGGCTCATTATCCTCCCTCCTCCAGTCATCCCGTCCTCCATGCCTCGGACATCCCTCTCACCTCATCTTCGCCCTCTCTCCCGCCCTCCCTTCGCGTCTCGGGAGGCGGCCAGCTGCCTGAGCTACTACGAAGCGAAGCCTGGTTGTTATGAAGCTGAGGTGCAGGCGCCTCCAGTTTGTTATTTGGACCCCCTTGCCCGTTGGACATAGTCGTAGTTTCCTCCATCAGGGTCTCTAACTGGGACCTCAATCCTGAATTGTCCTTAGGTGTATCGCATGCCCTGATGTTCCCCATGCCGCATCCAGCTAACCACTCGGAGACATCATGCGCTCAACAAGGGTTCTACCCTGTCTGTAGATAAGCCGCGGCCCACCGGGATAGAGTCGTTACTTACTTGTCCCTGATCCCCTCTCCACCATCTCCGACTTACTCACTCACATAAGCAAGCACCGCAGTCTTGAGCTCAGCTAGAGTTAGGTCGGGCATGAGCCCAGA